GAATCATATTATTTTCTTTCAAACACTGTCAAGATTAGTTGTCTAGATAATGAATCCTAAATCGTATGAATATATATTAAATAAGTCAATTCATTGTTTGCAAGAAGCCAATAAGATTAAAATACAGACATTAAGTTTACCTTCTAGCCACGTGTAGAACGACTCTCCTAAAAAAAAAAAATCACAGACACAAAGAGAATTGGGTTAAAATGTTCAAAGGGTCATTTATAAATAAGAATAAATTAAGTCTATGAGATATTTCTTATGACAATGCAGGAGTATCTTTAGAAATGTCCACTGCTTCATGTAAAGTGGAAAAATAGGCCTAAGGTTCTAGACAGTAAAGCCCGAAAGTGACTGACGTAATTCTGGGAGAATGTTCTTACGAACGATATTCTGACTAGTAAAATTCTGGAGAAAACTTTCAGTCGAAATGTAACCTAAATCTTACTCACTAGAAGGCTTAAATACCCACAGGCATGGGGGGAAACGAGATTGAATTTGCTTTTGATGATGACACCACAGCACTGTTTAGAACTTCCAAAAAGTAGTGAATTATGATACAAAAATAAAATTCTTCGTTATTCCATTTTTCCTGAACCGGTCAAACTAGGTGTCTTTCTGAATTGTCTAAAACTACTAAGTTTCAAGGGCTAATTAAAAAGTTCCCTCATTTTCAGGACAATCCCTCAGAACAGTGAAGACCAGAATCCGACGGGCCTGACTTACTCGCGCACTAATGCTGAGAACAGTCTCTAGTGCAATACTACTCGTCTGAGTGGGAAAAACATGCAGTCAATAAAGACAGCAGTTACACACTTCCTAAGGGCATATCCGTATCTCACTTTAACTGCGAAAAGCAAGGCCTGACCACAAATACTCGACACACAGGTGAGCTGAACAAGGAGTCCAGGGCATGAGCTGGGTGGTGGGGACTCACTTTGCCTCCTGAGAGTCTTCACCTTTTCTGTAACACAACACACACATCTTCCTACAGATTCATTCACTCAACAGCCTGTCACTGAGCATCACTCATCATTATCTCACTTGTGTATCCAAGAAGCCCCAGCCGCTGACAGGGTAAGCCTAGCTCACAAGGGCCTCAGCAACCTGGCCTCTGCTCATCTTCCGATTTAAACCACCCCGATATGAAATGAAGTCTTTCCTACTGCTGACAGAGTCTCCCCAAACACGCCTCGTTTTTCCTTTCTCAACCCCTTGGCCCATGCTGTGTCATCCAAATAGAACATGCTACCTACCAAACTCTACTGGCCTAAATCCGCCCCAGGATTCAAGTTCATCTCAAGTGCCACCTCCTCCAGTAAGCCTGCCCAGATCTCCCCAGGGAGACAGGATCTGTTCCACCTCTAAAGAGCGATGCCACGTCCTGGCTGTACAACGTGCAGAGCACTTCTTTATCACAGTTCACGCACAGTGCTTGTCATTCCTGCTGTGTGTTGGCAGCTCCTGGAGGGGAGGCATGTTTCACACACCTTTCCGCCCTGTCCAGTGCCCACCACAGTGCCCTAGCGCACAGATAAGTAAACATCCATCTGACACAGTTATTTTGGCTATTTTGAGGGACATTATGACCAGTATTCATTTAGTGACCTGCAGTAACCAACTGCTGATAAATTACTATTCATCAGATTGTTACAATGATAACTGAGGTTTAAATTTCAAAGTCAATAAGAAAATTAAAAAGTCACAAGACGAATCATCTGATAAAACTATTTTAACTTCTATTTCTTTAAAACATATTCAAGTAGCTCATAATGACCAGAAAATGGGGGACATGGACTGTGATCCTGTGTCTATACTAAACATAGAGGTAAAATGGTCTTTATACCTTTTTTTTAATATAGGATAAGTTTAAATTATAAAAAACTCATGTCACCATTCATTGGTAGCTATTTTGTGAAAAAAAAACAGAATAAACAATTTTAATTAGAGGAAAAATCAAATTCTGATAAATAAAAATTTTTCTCTACATCTGTGAAGCAAACCCAAAATCAAAGTTTTAACTCACCATCATCTTTTCCTGAAAGAGAAAACAATAGACAGGATTTCAGAAAATGTCTTACACAGTTCAGATTCCAATCCTATTTATTTTAATACGAGATTAAAACTTACTGCGTGTTAAACTAACAATTATACCATCAACTTCGGTCAGTGTGTAGCCATCCTGCAAACGAGACTTCTTAATAAGCATACAGGCCAAAGAGAACAACATTTTCACACTTTATACGGTAAGCAGTGTCAGACGGCAACTAGAAATAACTGTGAAGAGCACCAGTTTTAACAATTAACTGACAAATACATAAAGTCACCCCTTTACTCATTATGCACACGACTCTCTCTCAACACGTGTTTCCATTCTGGGATACCCTTCCTTGCCAGGTGACTGCTCCTCAGCACATATGAACCTTCATAAAAGCACCTCCCAAACCGTGGCCAGGGAAGCCGTCCCCGCAGGTGCCACAGGCTGCCCCGGCGTGGGAGGACGCAGGCGGCCGGGCTTCAGGACTCACAGCCACGTTGCCTGCCTCAGCTCTGGATGTGGGACTCAGACACAGGTTTCATTTCTGGGAAAACGTTCTGCTGCACAAAAGCTGCTGGAAAGTGGGCTGTGGGAGTCTAGCTGCCAGGGCTCAGGACAGTGTGGAACACCGTTAGGGAGGCTAGATAGCTGCTGGCCAACAGGAGCACCTTCGGGGGAGAAAGCAAATGAGCTGCTCTCGGGTGCCTGCCTTCCACCCAGGGCCCACTCTCCCCTCAACTCTGCGCTCCCTCTCGACATCGCTGCCTCTTCTCGCCCCTCCGTCTTTCTCTGTACACGCTGTCCTTCCTCTCCTCACCTTTCCAGCAGTCTTGTGTCTCCAGTTTATCATATGGAAGTGAAGGAGTCCTTAGGACTTGATGCTTTTATGAAATGAACAATTATATCTTCTGCTTTAAAAGCAGGTGATCATAGGAAAGGTCTGGAAGAATGCCTTCCAAACTCTGCTACAGAAAAGAAAAAGTGTGTGGAGGCAGGTGGGCGGGGGGTCCCCTTTCCACTTTGTGTCACTTTTTTGTATTGTTTCAGTTTTTAGAAAATCTTACAGAGTAAAAACATTTAAGTTGAAAACAGTAAAGCTATGAGGGAAAAGCAATAAAAGAGACAAAGAGTGAGAAGCCACGCAAACCTTCTTCATACTCCGGTGACCTCGTCCGCACGTGGGGAGACCACGGGTCCCTGTGCCACAGAGCACACCTACGGGAGGCCCACTCATCCAACCCTCCTGCGTCTCTCTGCTTCCGAGAAACGCCTAGCGAGAGGGATCTAGACCGGGAAATTCGAGTTCCTAAATCAATCCTGGTCTAAAGCAAGCATCAGGATGGCCCGTCAGTCCCAGGGCTGCACCCAGCTTGGCTCCTCGTTCACAACAGACTCAGGATATGCCTAATAACTGTGTACTGGAGAACCTCGAGCCGTCTGCGACAACGCCGGCCACGTATGTAATTAAAAGCTGTTCTCTAATCAGGTGTTTCCTAATACCCACACTGGAAAAGCAGAAGGTACACCCTGTTCTCCAGGACCTCAACAGTGTGCTCTGTGACGCACGAAGTGAAGCAGCTCCACCAAAACAGCAGAATTCTGTTTAACGGCAAAGACACTTCAGACTGCTGCGGTTTTCGAATTTACATGAACTAAAAGTAAGTAAAATGTAAAACTGAGTTTCTTGCTAGCCACATTTCACGTGCTCAACAGCCTTATGTGGCAAGTGGCCACCCCCTGCTTGGCGAGTGCTCTGGGCAACCAGACTTTCTGCTTCTCCTCTACACCCTGATGACTCAAGGCGTGGTGCCTGGATCAGCGTCCTGGGCCACCGCCTGGGAGCCTGTCGGAGCCCTGGGCTGCACACAAGACCCAGGGTGAGAACCTGTATTCCAGCGAGGCTCCTCGGTGGTCCGTGCGTGCGCTGAAGTCTGAGGAGCACGCTGTGAGCCACCGGTTCTCAAACCTGGCTGCATACTGGAGTGCTTTGGAGAGTGTAAAAGCTGCCAGAGCCTGGGTCCTCATTCCACAGATTCTGACAACTGCGCTAAGACAGGGCCCGGACATCTGGACTTTTAAGAGTTCCCCAGGAAACCTCAGATATACATGGATTGCTCGTATGCCCTATTTTACACAAAGCTCTTAGTTCAGGGCCTGGCACATATCACGCAGTCAGTAAATGACAGTAATTCTATAAAACAGGTGGGAGTCTTGAGACTTACCCAAGTACTAATCTTACACTGTTCGTTCACATTAAGCAAAAATATAAAACAATTGAAATTTTTCTCAGTATAAAGTCTAGTTACAAAGATATCTTGTAAAAGCATGAAAATGCTTTTAAAACTTCTAAAAGCATGAAAATGTACGAAAAACCCACCTCGGCCGGGTGCCAGGGGATTTAAAGGACGATAAACAGATCGAGGCCTGGAAGAGAGAGCATAAAGCTCAAACACGAAATGGTTTGACAGTTTGATGTAATTATCCTGACAGCGGCAGGCCCCCACCCCCCGTCAGCCGCGCCCCAGCCCCGCCCCCGCCACCCCGGTTACTTGAAGCAGTTTTCCTCGTAGATGCTGTTCCACACTCGCCACGCCGAGGGCCCCTTGTAGCCAGTGTAACGCTCCGGGTTCAGCAGCAGGTCTACATACTGGGCAGCTGGAGATCTCTCATCTGGACCAGAAATGATTCACAAAACCATCCATATTTCACCATTTTGCTAGACTGTCACATTACAAAGCAAGGGGGCAGGGTGCAGCTCAGTGGGAGATACACAAGGTCTTGGGTTCAATCCCCAGCACCTCCTCTAAAAATAAATAAATAAGCCTAATTACCTCTCCCCAATAAAAGCACAAAAAATAACGTAACTAATGGTTAAAAAGAGTATGAAAACAAATATATGTGTGTTCCTATATGACTGAAGTATTGTGCTGTACACAAGAAATTGACATAACTTTGTAGACTGACTATACTTCAATAAATATATTTTTTAAATAATAAAATAAAATAAATTCCAAAGCAAAGAGGACTACCCAAAAGTTAGACAAACGCTACGCTTTCAAGTAGTCTCCAACTTAAACGGCAGAGTGGTTAGCACACTTGTGACAGCACTTGACCGAGGAGTCATCATAACTTGAACTTGAGAGAGGAAAATAACTCCTTCCTTTCCTCTGGGTGCTCAACGCTCTCTGAAGTAAAGTAACACGCCTCACCTTATCAGAGGCAGGAGTCAGTTCTTAAGGTTTACCCATCAGGGCTGAACAGACCCAACAGAGTCATAACCCATTTTAACATTTCATGTGATTGCCCCCATGTATATTCCTTCCTAAACACATGCTTGAAACATTCATTCTGTTCGCACATGTTGTATTTAAAAAAGGGATTTCCCTGCTACTCCCTTCTTGGGCTTAGGAAGCAAATGGTGCGGTAACTTTGTGATTCAAATTTATCACTCAGAGTCACACAATGTTCTAGTAAAACAAAAATGCACGGTATTAACTTTTTACCAATGTTAATATGTTGGTTAACATACTAACTGGTTAACATGCTGGTTAGCAGCACAACTTCAAGAGCTTAACACACTGAAAATTAAATAACCATTTTCCACGTTGAACCAAGTGAGTATTTACTAGATCTGCACTATTTGGGCAACATTTTGATAGAACCTCTCTGGGGGATACAAAACATAAAGAAAAATGGTTTTAAATATTGAGGCTCTTGGTCTGGGAAGAAAAGGGAAGCACATGCTTTCTTACCACAGGAAAATGATGATGACTCTGTCACAGTCGGTGTGCTAATAATACACGTCATGGAAGTGCTATGCGTGTTGGCACGGATGTGTTCTTTTACTTATATGCTTCCTACTTTTTGGTGTCGTGATATTAAATCAATGGTATACAGACACCTGGCTTGAAACAGGGGCCAAAAATGGTCATTAAGACACGGTCCCTCTTGTGTCCATTATCTGTCATTATCACTCCAATATGACTCCATTATCTGTCAGTCACAAGTATTCACTGGCCACTCAGTGACCATAAACTGGGATTATCCATCATAACGGTCCATGCCTTCCAAGACCTACCTGTACTCTCACGACGGAGGGAGAGCACAAGGGTAATCCCAGCTTACGACTCCCAAGTGCGCTGCAGCTAACAGACAATGGAAACGCGGTTCTGAAGACTGCTGGCTCTACTTCTAGCACTAACGTTATTCGTCTGCCCCAACAGAAGGCACAAAAAGCAGTTCGCAGATGGATGAGCAGGAACTGTCCAAGGACATCACTAAGTCTTGATCAATAAACTTAATTTAAAAAATCTTACTTGAAAAACAAAAATTCAAATCATTTAGGAAAGGAGGAATTTTGTAGACACAAACGTTTTGCAATTCACTAATTTCTGTTATACTTTAGATTTCTTTGAGCTGTTCTTGATGAAGTTCACTCGCAAAACTGATTCAGTTATGTGTATAAGCTTTAGAAATATTAATCATATAATAAATATGTACGCATTGACAGACACACGTATGTACACACGCATAAAGAGTGTGTGTGCATGCACATAGGCCTACACTTAGGTGCTGCCATCTGTGAATGTGCAAAAGGAGTAAGTATCAACCTCGTCACCCAATTAAACCAACTAAACAACCAACAAAGGGGGAAAAAAAAAACTTGAATTCAGATATTAAAGTATATGGATTCAAAATACACTTAAGGGAGTGGAAAGTCATACGAGTAAAATCAATTATATCAGTTTGCAAATTACTTTCATAAGTAAAACTTACTTTCCTAATGTTCTTAATGTGTATTTCATTAACTCAATCAAAAATTTAAAAAACTGCAATACTTTTTCAAATCATGAGAAAGGTGGGTTTTATTAACTTACAGAAGGGGTTAGCAAGCCATGGCCCACAGGACCATGGTCTGCTGTGTATTTGTTAATAAAGTGTTGTGGAACAAAACACAGGGTCATTTGCTCATATACTGTTTTCACACTATTAAGGCAGAGCTTGGTAGCTGCAACAGAGGCCATAAGGTTCACAAAGCCTAAAATATTTACTATCTGCCCACTAAGAGAAGGAAAGGTTTTTCAACCCCTGACCCACACTGACAAGAACGTCACAACATCCGGAGTGAGGAAGGCACGTGGGAGAAAGCACGCACAGGTGGGGCTCCCTACAGCACACCCCTCCTCACTCCTGGGCCACCTGGGACACCGTGTTAATTTGTCCCTAACTGTAACTTCTTCCCACTGTACAGCTGTGTCGTTCATGCAGATAATTCTCTTGGATCCCTACTAAGTGCTCCCTAAGTCTTCTCTTCCTCCCTCTCCAAACCTGCTCCAAAGCTCTTCTTTCTTTTTGACCATGCCAACCATTACCTAAGGATTCAAAGAATTTCCACTGAATCCAAATACCTACTTCTGGGAATCCATCAGCTTGAACTGATGTCTCTCCCTCCTCAAGTGTATCTTTTCCCCCAGGTGAACGTTGTTCTCCCCGTCCTGATTTAGCTCTCGCGCACGGGGCCAGGCTGCGTTCCCTAGGATGCCGGGCACGCTTCCCGCCTCCTCACCCACCTGTCTCCTAAAGCAGCGGTTGCGTAGGCCAACTCAGCGTGCAGGCTTCTTGATTAGACCAAAACTACCCGTTACGGGCTCAGGACCAAGCCTACAGTTCTCCACCTCCACCTCTACCCCTAATTGCCACTAACTTACTATTAAAACATAATTTCCTCAGTCAAGGAGAATCTATAGTTCATAAAGTATCCAAGTAATTTTGATACACAGCCAGATTTAGAAACTACAGTTTAAAACAGTATTTTTAATGTAACAATGGACATGTTTTAAGGGGGAAAATAAAAATAAAAAAATAAAACTGCTTAGGTTACTAATAAACCAACTACTTCATCCAGCAAGTATTTCTTGAGCATGTGCCGTGTAGGGCCTGTGATCTAGGCACTAGGGATCCAGTCGTGAACAAAGAGACAGGTCCTTGCCCTCAAGTAGCTCACCATCTAGCTGACGACACAGCAAACAGAGAAGCTAGCCAGTACACTCACACGCAGTTCTCGGTGCTTGGGGAGCAGCCGCAGCGCAGAGACAGCGGCAGAGGTTATTGCCATTTTACAGGGGAGGTGCAAGCAGGCTTCTCTCATGAGGTGACATTTGAGCAGAAACCGGAAGCAAAGGAAGCAGCCAGCCAGGCATGAAGACAATAACAAACAAACAAAAAGAGAGGGAGAGCAGCTTACCTGAAACTGCTAAATTATTAAAACACCTACTATTTGATCTATAGGGATCACGTTCCTTTCAAATACAGACAAAACCAAAACCAGAAAAACAGCAGAGAGCAGGGGTGTACGGATATATTCCAATAAACTGGGGTGAATATTTAGATTTTGTTCTAATCCAATGATTTTAGATGACCGAAATAACTAAACCATGACTCTAAAGCAACTCTGACAGCATTTTAAAAACTATCGGTGTGAATCATTGGGGCACAAGTGAACGCTGCCACCCAGAAGAGCAGTGGTAATCCAGCTAGTAGTATGACTTCAGGTATTTAGGAACCACATAAAATATAAAACCTATTGGTTAATTATGCTAAAATCTTAAAGGATGATTTTATGTAAATTATATAGATGTCTCACAGGACATCTCTTCCAGTTTCACAATTTAAGAAGCTAGTATTAAAAAATTAACACTATTTATATTGCTGACAGGCAATTGAGCACATCAGTCTAACCACAGCAAGTAATCCCTGTAATTGAGTAGCATTTTTTGTTCAATAAGCACGACCAAGTGTTTCATTTTAATCAAAGAATAATTAAAGTGAGAAAGAAGTGACTATGAGGGTTAAACACTCAAATACAATTAGAATGAAAACCAAAGCACAGATGAAAGAGGAAGCAGCGAGGTGAGCGCCTAACCTAGAACACCGGCGGGCCCCAATAAAACCTCTGCCAATTCTAAATATCATAATAGGGGTATTTTGTTAAATGCCATTATGTCTAGATACCCCCAAAATCTTTGCTCAGATCCAACAGTTTCCTTGCTGACACCACATAAACCATGGTAATAATGTTCCGTCTCCCAGCAGCTTCTCAATTCACCACACTCTGGTAGAGGCTCCCGGTAACCCCCTCCATCACAGACCCGATTCACAGCACAACGCTGCAGGTGAATCTTTAAAAAGTCTTTAGAAAGCAGTGTGACCACCAGATGCTTCACAAGTTCAGGAGCACTTCTGCTATTTCTAAGTCTGCGGGCTTGAACCTCGAATTCTTTTCCACCACCAAAAATATAACAATGCCAATGTAAAGGTGACGAGAGGCCAAATGAATGACTTCAGCCTACTCAGCACAGTTACTGGGGCTCCTCTCCTAGACACGGTATTTTGAGTCACGTCAATTCTCCTCTGTTAGAAGCAGCGGCAGTCACTGCTGAACGTGCGCTTTGTTCCACACCAGGGCACTTGTGGAAAGAGGGCTGTCGGGAAGTCAAACTGGAGTTCACCCCAGTGTCCGTGTCTTTATGTCAGTTTGTTGAGACCTCCAACTACAGAATATTTCTATACTATGTTCACGGACCTGTATCTAACTAAGTGGTGTGAACTGGAGGCCTATCGGAGGTGGGGTGTCATAACAGAAAGAAGACAGGTTTGGGATTCAGTCAGATCTGGGACTGAATCCTGTCTCAGCCTCTTGCCACTGTGTGATCGTGGGCAAGTTAACTCGTCTTTCTGAGAGTGAGTTTCCTCAGATATAAAGTAATACACACCTATTATCAGGGTAGCTGTGAAGCCCAGAAGTCATGTATTTAAGGCGCTCGGCAAAAGGCCTGAGACATAGGCTCTCGATTAGCGCCACTATGGAAAAGAAGGTCCACACACAACCCCCGGCATATTAAAGCTACAACTCTGAAAAACAAAAAACAAAAAACAAAAACAAAAACAAAAAACTCTGTACTGTCACTGATTTAAGTGTCTTCAAAGGGTTCGAGTTAAAATAATGTAATTACAATAGTTTATTTTATTACCGTCAAGTTCACAAAAGTGATCCTGTGAATCATCGTATCTTGCCCAGTCAATGAAAGCTTCTTTGCTTTGATTACTATGGGAAGGAGGAATAAAAAAGAAAAACGATTAAACTTGGAGTTGAAAACTGTAACACTGTATTCTATTGTAATTAAAAACAGATAATCTGAGATTACTTCTTTACTAACTAGATGGTGTCACAAATTCAGTTAGTGGTCTCATGAAGGAATGATGAATACAAGTTACATGAAAGACACAGGTACTCATTTCCACGAGGGACACATTTCTTAATGGTATTAAAATTATTTTAGCCCTAGTTCAGTGATAATTACTTTGGCCAGAAAATTAACTTGCAAATATATATATACACACACACACACTATGAAGTTAAAGAGAAAATTCAAGCTGGTCTTTTCAAGGTTGACTCAGAAATTGTAGTAAATACGTATTATTTTTTTCTAAAGTAGGAATTAAATTTACTTTCAACAATTCTTTTAATTTAAATTGCTTCTGTACTGACAGGGCCCAGAACACTAAAACCTGCACTGCTAGCCTCCTCCACCCAGTGTGGGACTCCCTCGTAACACCGATGTCACTTCCATCGTGGCTTATCATTCATTTCAGACCTTACCTCCCATTTAACAAAATCTACGATCAAGATTGCTGACTCACAGAACTGATAAGGAGCAACTACATTCATTCAAGTTAACTTTGACCTATATTCACTTTAACCTACATTCAGATCTTCTCTGCCTTAAATACATGATGGCAGCATCCATGAGAGAAATATTACCCTTCTTTAGTCACGACACAAAAGGAAAAAAAAAAGGTAAACAAAATTGTGAACCAAGGATAAATCAGGTATTCCTAGCTGTGGCACTGTCACAGCCAGTAATTATTTTGTACCTGAGAACGCCACACGGCACCACACTGTGAGCAGTACAGGAGGCTGGCAGCACTACAAATTTATCGATAAAAAAATTTCCAATTCAACTACCATGGGATTTTTTTCTCCTATAGGGATATATAATTAATTTAAAATAACAGTTAATGGAAACTTTTATATCAAAGGTGGCTCAGTTGATACATATGTTGCCATAAAACAAGAACGCCTAAGTTCTAGTTATAACTAAAATCACAGCTATGGTTATGTTTAATCAGGTACATCTTCTGTTGAAAATAGTAAAGAACAAAGCAATTTTGACATGAATTCCTATTTCCTTGTCAGCAGTGCGACTAACTTAGGGGAACTTTTAGCACCCTCATTTGATGAGGTTTTCCCGACTGTTTCACCTAACCCTTGCCCAAAGCCACGGGAGCAGAAAAGACACGGCACGCTAGCCTAACGCTAACAAAGCGGGCCCAGTGGGGTTTACAGACGAGTTAGAAGGAATCTTAGACGTCATCTAGTTCACCTTTTCTAAAAGTCTGTTCGAAGGTGGACACCACGGGACTTAAGAACTTCTTGGGCTTCACCCAGGGCTTCCTATCAAGACGGTGCTGTGAGTTAAAGTCTAGTCCGTGAAGCAGGGGAAGCCGCGGTGGAAGCGGGGCATGAGAAAACCTCTGGGACAGTAGACGTGACTGTGCTGACTGTGCTGTGTTCAGGTCAAAACACCAGGCTGTGCATTTGAAACTGGTGCAGCATATCGTATGTCAGCCACAAGTGTCACGGTCACCAGTGACACTACGGGCTGTCAGGGGAGCTGTTGGGGGAGGAACCTCTGCATGCTACTGACTAGCGGCAGCGTGTTTTAGGACAGTCATTTTGGAAAACCACCTGGGAGTCCTTAATTCCACTCCTAGGTATATTTTCCATAGAAATGCACACCAAACGCACCACCAAAGAGCCACCAAAATATTTAGTGAAATGGCCTTCAAGTGGAAAACATCCAGCATAATATTATTCAACATAATGTTGAATAAAATAAGATACAAATGAACACATACTGTATTATTTCATTTATACAAATAGGCAAAACTAATCTTTGCTAGTATAACTCAAAATCACGGTTAACTCCGGAAGGTGCTAATGACTAGGAAAGGACAAGTCATCTTCTGAGCAGCAACTACATTGTTCTGGAGGGTGGCTGATAGAGCTGAGGCACTTTGTAAAATTAAACTGAACTTTATCCTTAAGGCTTGTATACTTTATTATATGTGTGTTATGCTTAAAAAGTTTTCAAACTTACAACTTTTGTTCAACAACAAAAATCTGTAAGCAAAATTCAAAGACAAACCCCAACTCATATAGCCAACAAATTATATGAAGAATGCCTACAAATTAATTTCAAAATGCAGCCCCTTCTCCAATGAAGAAAAAAATAGCAGAGTATGAACAGGCAATTTACCTCAAAATCTCATCATGCCTTAAGGCCCGGTCCCTGGATCACTACTCCATCTATATCCTACCCTTGGTAATTTCATTCAGGTTTGTGATTTTTAAATACCACACATTCACTGAATGACTCCTACACCCAGACCTCTCCCCTGAAACCGAGGTGTGTGTATCCACCTGTCTGCTCCACATTTCCAACTGGATGTCCCACAGGTAGCTCAAACTTAACAAGTCCAAGGTTGCACTAAAATTTTCCATCAAACTTGCTCCTCCTGCAGGTGTCCCCAGTTCAGTAAACGGCAACTCTTTTTTTAGTTCCAAATCTCGTAGTCATTCAAAGCTCCTGTCTTTTTTCATCCAATCTTCAGCAAATCCTATCAGCTCTACCTCCTCGGACTGCCCAGTTTAAACCAGTGCAACACCTTCACTCTGAGCCCTCTCCATCCCTCTTCCCTGCATCCTCTCTCCCTGGTCCTCATCACCACCTCACTCACTTCCCATTAACTTTGCTCACGCATATCTCTGACAGGACGAAGCCGCACGAGGGCAGTAATCTGCTTCTCACGGCACTCCTGTGTCCCTAGAACAGCACCTGGCATTCTGCAGGGATCTGCTTGTTGAATAAGGAACCCAAATGTCCAATAAAGAGAGGAGAAAATGTACAGACTCACTAGTGATCAATAAAATATAAATTAAAAAAAGAGACACTATTTCACACTTAATCAAACATCATCAACATTTAGCAACAATGCGGAGAACAAGTTCTCAGTACCAGAGGTGGTATACATCCACATGAGTATTTTGGAAAGCCATCACGTAACAGTAAGAGCTGCAAGAGGGCAACCCAAGACGCAGCAGCTTAACTTTAGTGTACACACACACACACACACACAGTTATCAAGAACGTTCACGGTGGCATAATTTGTAGAAGTAAAAATTTTGAAACAACTTAAATGTTCATCAGTAGGGGAACAGATGGGTAAAATATGGTGTATTTATATGATGAAAACCATTCATCAGTTAAAAGAATGAGACAAGTTCCTGTTTTAACATGCATGTATCTGGAAAGCAAAATGTGCAGTGTAAAAAGAAAGCTGCAGAGTGTCAATGACAGCACTCTACCATTTACATAAAGGAAAATAAAATCATATACACCAACCATACATATATATGTATGCATGTATATAAATATACAAAGTTAAAAACAAGAACATGGACTCGATACATACCAAATTGAGTTACCTCTAAGAAAAAAGGGAAGAAAACAGAATTGGGGAATAAACATGGGGGATTTCAAATTTGTCTGTGACATTTCTCTTTTCTTTAAAACATGGTAGAAGATGTTAAGATTTGTTCATTTGGAGTAGAGGATATTTGGGTCTTTATTATATCATCCTTTCCACTTTGCTATACTAGAATTTTTCATCAATGAAAAGATAAGTAAAATTGCTAACTTAAGTCTTTAACAATTATAGTACATAGATACAAATCTAAACAGGTAAATCAAAAGAATTTTTATAATATTCCATTTCCACTCACAACTACAGATCTACTCAGTCATTTTATACTGCATAATCTGAGACCACTTACAAATAATTTATATTGGCTCTCAAAAGCAGATTTATACTTAGAGCTAATAAAGAAAAGTCAACAGAAAAAAAATCTATGAAATGTAACAGTTACGTTAATAGTAACATTTATTGTTCAAAATGTTAACACTTAGATTGAATTACCATTTTAGAAAGACTTGTCGGTTCAAGGTCCTTTTCCCATAATAATCAGGAAGGATGGACCTAAAAATCCTGCTAGCTGATAAACTGCCTAAAATTTTCCTTTTTAACAGAGTCACTATTGATGATTTAGAAATTTAAGAACACATCAGCCAAGAGGAAGCAAAGTTATTGTGGAATTTAGGATAAAGAGTAACTTTTTCCTTTTAAAAATTAGTTGAAACTATAATGTTTAATCAAAACCACAAGAAAAGTCAGAAGATTTCTAATAGAAACTAAAAGATTATTTTCTTAATACTATCAAAATACAATGTACCTTAATGTGCTGTTAACTGCTCCCAGTTTGCTAGCTTGCTCACAGTCTTCTAGTTCTTTGGTGTTGTTGGCCACTTTCAAGTACTGAAAGGAAGTTCGTAACAAGTAAGTTTAGTGATAACTATTGTGTTTCTCTATGTCGGGTCCCACTAGCAGAAGAGTCAATTTGTCGATGATGACATACACTAAATAAAGAGACATCCTATTACCAAAATCCCTAACACATCGAAGAAATGCAAATGCAAATGTGTCACAAATTTCCACCTAATAAATAAGGAAAGACATTAAAAATGAAACAACAGCACTGGGATGGTGGTGGTGATGAGAACTGAGAAGGCCCTCTTGGGAAAGTAATTTGACAACATTTATGCAGGTCTGTAGAAAGTAATCCATGAGCCAGTAGTCCCACGAGTGAATCCACATTCAGAGTAACATTTAAAAACAAAAACAATAAAAAGGTACAGTCACTTTAGAAGGTTATCTGGTACCATCTCTTAATGTTGAGGTAGGCACATCCCAGGGCCCAGCAAACTTACTGCTAAATACAGACGTGGGGAAAGCTTCCGTATGTGCACGGTGCAGCAAGACAGGATGCCAGGGCATCACCGTCTGCAACAGCAAACAACTGAAAACAAGTGAACTGTCCCTCAACAGAGGAATGGCTGTTCGCACAATTACACAAAGATTTATGCATCTGAATATTTTGCAGCTGTTAAAATTAGCAAAATCTACATATATCAGCAGAGACAAAATTTCAAAAGCACAATACTGAGTAAAAATACAAACTGAAAAAAAAGTTTTAACCTGAAGAAATACAAAATATAGTATTGTTTTAAATGTTTAAAAATGTCATATAAAAGATCTGTATGTTACTTGTGGGCACCAGTACAATAAACTATAAAAATCAAGACCATCACAGAGGGACGCACACCAGCCTCGGCAAAGCGGGAGCTGGGGGGGGGGGGAGGGAATACGATGGGGTGGGGGAGGGGAGCCCGGAGGGGAGCCCAGGTGTCCTCAGACTGTCTGTTTACTTACTTTAGCTCTCAAATAAAAATATGTAAAAGAGAATGAGCCACAACAGAAGGGAACGGAGAGAGGGTAGGACGGTCTCTATCACAAACGCACAATCGTGAAAAACTGCAAGCACGCTGTAACTCCAGACACGCGACCGGCAACGTAAACGATGGCGCGCGTAAGGGGAATCTTCACGACAGGAATGTTTTCATGCCGTTTAGAAGCGCCACGCTCAACGCATCTTGGTGGTGATACGCAGTACAACCCTGAACACGGCACGTTCAGACGGCTGCAAACGGCGGACACCGAAGCGGGGCGGCCCACGCCTGCGGGACGCGCGGACGAGGTGGCGGAGCCCGCAGCTCCTCACGGCCCTTCCGCGGGTTCTGAAAGCGGGACTCAGGCGCTTCAAGAGCAGCTGTGCAAGCTAGCCGTGAGGACACCCGCCACCGCACTGCCCGCGCAGGCGAGGGGCGCCGCGTGCTCCGCAAACCGTGCCCGCCCCCAGCGAGCCGCGTCTCGGCGCTCCCGCAGCCCCGCCAGGCGGCGAAGGGCAGGTTCCACCGTGCGAAGCGCACGCGTTTACGGAGGACAAGCGACTCACCTTGTTAGCGCCCCCAGCTTTAATTCCAACCGGAATTTTACTCTTAAAAGAAGAACAACAAAACATTTTTAAATGCGTTTACATTTTTTGAGATTTCTTCACAGCGTATTAAATGCCACTGCTCTAATTCAAAGGCTGTTTTATTCTATGAGGAGAAAACACACATTCATTAGAATTGTTTTCGTACTACCTCCTGAGGGAAAAGGTAAAGAGCTATCCCAATTTACAGACTTATAAATCATACTACAAAAACTGAAACAGAGGAAGTGTCGAAATCAGCTCTAATGACTCTCAAAGCAGTAATAGTTTATATAACGTTCAGGTTAAAAAAAAACTGACTCAATCACTTTTTCCATACACTTTCTGACCACAAAAACCACTTTTTAAAAATTCAAAATTATTTGAAATCTGTATGCTCAATTTAAATTTCTGCTCTAAGCTGACATTCAAAGTTTGGACAATTCTGGATCAATACTAGAAGGCAAGAGTAAGTTCTCTGGTTCATACGATTAACCTAGGGTTTGCCAATCTAGGTAATCTAGGGTTTACCAATGGAAGATCTGCATGTAGGTCCAAAATGCTCTTCTGTAAAGCCATTAATTAGTTTTGGGCTTTAAAAAAATCAATCAATCATTACAACTGTTTTATCAAACACAGTCTTAAACAAAAATCGTATCTGAAAGCAGGTAATTCCAGATCAACCCTCTGATCAACCCAGGGGACTAATTTCCAACATTTGCATCTATAGGCTAACAATCAATATCAAATCACCTATTTTGTTTGTGTTTCATAGATAAAATTTAACCAACATTCAGAATAAATATTTTCCTGTCAGACTGAATAATGTAAATTATAATCATGAGAGACTTTTTCCCAACCAACAAAAAGGTCCTATAGTTAAAATGTTACCAATATTTTATCATTTCAATAATTTCTACCACCTCTAACAGAGGCAGAAGAGAGAAAACTAAAAAAACTCAAGTCAAACGTAGAAGCTAGTTATCATACCCAGAATGTAAAATATGGAAATAAACACCCATAAAAAGTGCCCTCTGACTACTGTACGTCCTCTAATGAGTAAAATATGCTAAAAATCAAAATATCAGCAGCTTTTCAAAAGGTTTGATGTGAAATGCAATAACCTGACTTAAGCACATCTTAATATAGGCCATCAAGAGATACTGGGGTGGGAACCATAGATGATCCTCATGAATAACAAAAATCACAAAAAAGAATCATGAAAAGGAATGATAAATGTAAAGCTAATAACAAGCAGCAGCAGTCTGCAAACTACAAAACTAAGTGAGCCTCGAAGTTACACTGGACTTCGAATTGCGGAAGGCAGGTTGAGACTGTGTCAAGCCAAGTGTCAATTTTCCCCCAAACATTAGGTTTAAAAAAAAAAACAACATGAAGGGATAGTTTTTACCTCCAGAAAGAAAGGGAAGAGAATGGGAAGGGAACAGACAGAAACTTTAAAATACACAAAATGTTGTATTTCTTATGTTGGGGATTTGTGTACAATAAATACTTCCATTTATTCTTATTAGAAATTTCAGGCTACAAAGGATAACCCACTGCCGACAACGATGATTTTAACATAAATACAACTTGGGAACATAAACTGTGCAAAGCCAATTAACTCTCCCAACTCAGCAATAAAAAGGAAACTCAATTTTAAAATGGGCAAAGGATTTGAATAGGCATTTCTCTGGTGAATATATACAAATGGCCAGTAAGCACCTGAAAAGATGCTTTATATTACTGGCCTTCAGGAAAATGCAAATCAAAACCAAAATGAGATGGCATTTGTAAGGATGGCTAAAGCAAAAGACAAGACAGTAGTCAGTGCAGACAAGTATGCAGGGAAACTAGAACCATCATGCATTGCTAGTGGCAATGTAAAATGGTGCAGCCACAACGGAAATAGTCTGGCAGTTTTCCAACAGTCAAGGCAACGAAAGACAAATACTGAGGGACTATTCCAGATTAAAAGAAGGCTAAAGAGACATGATGTCCAAACACAAAGTACGACTCTGGATCAGAAACTGTTGTTGCTGCTGCTGTTAGTGTTGTAAAGCACGTTATTAAGTCAGCTGGCAAGGTGTGATTAAGGTCTACAGGGTAGACATTGGTATCATTTAAATGTTAATTTCCTGATTTTGCTCATTATGCTGTGGTTTATAACTCTGCTTTTAAGGAGATACACACTGAAGTATCTCAGGGTAAAAGATCATCACATTGGTAACTTACACCTAAATGGTTCAGAAAATAAAAATATTAGTATATACATATAGAGGGAATAATAAAACAAACTTGATAAACATTAACATTTTGGGAATCTGGATAAAAAGTATATGGGAATTCATGCAATTTTTCTATAGGCCTGAAATTATTTCAAACTATCAAGTTAAAAAACATTTTATTCCTTTAAGAAAATGTAAACAATTTTTAAAAATTTTCCCTTTAGAAAGGATATTGGTTCAGATTTTTTTTCCCGTTTTTAAGGCAAAAAACTAGACTGATTAGATACAAAAAGTAAAATGAAAACAAAGCTTATTACTAATTACTGTTTAAAGAATACAATTAATTATGTTAGATTTCAAAAAACAAAGTTTAAAATGTAGGATTCCTTACGAATAAGTACAGCCCTTGTTTTCTCCGTAAAAAGACGGAGTGAAGATCTAATTTCAAGTCTCAAATTTCCTGACTTTACGCACTCTAATTCCCACTCTAAATTTGAAATTTAAGGTCCAGTTACACTGTCTCTGCCCATGAAACAAGATGCAGGTTCAGTAAAGCCAACTGTGGATCCAGCCCCGAAACAGGCCTCCAGTTTTCCATCCATTTTAGAATGAGACTACACTTCTACATCCAGTCACCAACACCACTGGAGACAAGTGTGTCTTCAAACCCATTTTGGTGGCAACTGCAGATTAAATATTCAATAATCTGGTTCAAAAGGAGAGAGCTAAGAGCGTACGAATTTTATGACAAGTCCAAATGCATTGACATTAGCCTAAAATATAGACTTCATGCTTATCTAGAAGTCCAAAAGAAAGCACTTCATTTCTCTATTTTTAAAATGTATTTTACCTCTGGACAAGGCTCTACGTGACAGTCTTTTATTGAACAATGGCCATCTTCTGCCCAGAAGGGACATGGGCGCTTCAGGTTAACCTGGAGAGAAAGGAGGAGTCAGCCACAGTGGGCGTGCAGCTCGGCACTGCAGTGCTCCGAGCATCACCGCGCACCCCAGCCTGCGGCACAGAGCGCAGGAGTTACAACCACCGAAGCTTCTCAGACACCCAGATAAAACACTAATTTTAAAAAATAAATGACTGCTATCAGCGCTCTGACACTTCAAAAGAGGACTGAAGTCCAAGCCCGCTGGTCACCTGAAGAACCCAGGAAGCATTCCAGGACCACCTGTTCCTTCCAGCCCAGTTGTCCCTCACACACCTGTGCACATAAACAGGTGCCCCGAGCACCCCTCTCCGCCCCAGGCCCTGGGGTGGGGGGGCTCTAGGGGATAGAGAGGCAGGAAGAGCGTTTTCCCCTGCAACTTACAGTGTGCTGGGGGTGACAGAATTATCTATTTGTATGCTTGTTTAATTACAAATTGTGCCACGTGCTACAAGGGAAAGTTCAGAGTCTTGTGACAGAAAGAATGGGGCTGGTGTTGGAGGCCCCTGCGGAGGCAGTGTTTAGGACAGGGGAGAGTGGGCAGCAATGTGTGGGGAAAGGTGACAGGGCCGGGACAATCCCGGGGTCTGAGCAACCGACTTTCAGTGGGGAAGGCAGGGGGCGGCAGAGGAGGGTGGAGTGAGGCAAGACCATGCAGGACATTTTACCACGGTAAAAACTGTATTTTCATATCCTAAACATAACGAGAAGATGGTAATTCAATAGGACTTCCAGATGGACTGCCCAAGCCCAAAATCAAAGTTTTGTTTGTGTTTCCTCCCTTTTCATCCCCTTCAAACAATGTGTTCTTCACTTCTCACCACCTATCCCCTGCCTGGTCCACTGCAGCCCGTCTCCTGCTCCTACCATCTATCCTCTGCACGGCAGCTGTAACTACCTCCTTGAAACATAGTCCAGAGCACACCACCCCCACTCAGAGCCTTCCTGAGGCTTCCCGCCACCTGCAGAGTAAACGGCAAGTCTGCAGTGAGCACCACAGGCCCTGTGTGGCCTGCCCCAGCCCGCTTCTCCAGGCATGGGCCCGTGTGCCGGAGCACAGCACCTGCTGTCTGTCTCCCGCCTGGCCAGCAGCGTCCTCTGCGCCTGCGCCGGTGCCTCCTCCGGATCTTCTGTGGCTCAACCCCTTCACCCCCTCCATCACTGCAGCAGACAGCGTCCTGATCGGACTCCCCAGTGTAGGGCCTGCTATGCACCCCACACAGTTCTATACTCTTTCATAGCATTTATCACTCCCCGAATATTATTTATTTACTTTTTTACTGTCTGCGACCCCCACTGTAAGGGTCGGGATTTTGCCGATTCTTGTTCGTGATTTTATCCCAGTGCCCAGAACATGTACTAGACACCTTAATAAGCACATGAGCGATGAGGACAGCAATACCCACATCACAGACGAAGGGGCCAAACAGATAGTGACTGGCTGAACTCCGACCCTGCAGTGTCAGGAAGGGGAAGTCCTCCTCGGCAAACTGGGTGCGACTAGAGGTTTCCTAGCGAAAGAGGGGTCAGGATGTCTAAGACAGAGAAGCTTAAAACCGCCTGGCACGGGTGGGAACCTCAGGTGCCCTCGAGCTCCTGGCTTGTAAATCCAACTGCCTCCGTGGCATCTCAGGGGATGTGCGTGGGCACCTCAACTTATTAACACACCTCAAACTGCGCTCTTCCCTCTGCTCGCTCCTGCCAGCTCAGTAAACGGCAACTCTGTCATTCAGGTCTTCAGGCCAAAATCCTGGCATCACCTTTGGCTCCTTTTCCTCCCCCTACATACACCACTTCCGGAGATCAGGGCAGTTCCAAATCCAAGTCCCTTTAATGGCCGTTCACAGGCCTCCTGTTGTTCCTCAGATACACGAGGCCCACTGTGGTCTCCAGGCTTGACTCTTGCTGCTCCCTCTGCCTGGAATGTTCTTTCTCCAGATGTCCACATGCTTGCTCTCTCATCCCTTTAGGTCCTTCTCGAGGGCCACCTTCTCAGCTTGTGGTTTTAAGTTCCTACATTTTAGGCTTATTTGTTATGCAGCAACAGGTAACTAATACCCAGTGCAAGGAGGGGACAGAGGGAGACAGTGCACACGCTGCTCGGGTCACCTTCAGGAACAAAGGGCTTTTACCCCAGTCCTGGGAAGGTCGCAGGCAGCCAACCTCAGCTAGAGAGCCACTCTGCCCAGGGTCACACCTCCCCTTCCTACAATGCCCTTCATCCCATGGCAGGTGAAGGGATACAAAAGCCCAGACCTGTCCGTGAAGTGGGGACAGCTCTGGGGGGCCGCCCGAGGCTTCCTTGAGGCTCTCACAGCTTTACTCCTCCCTGTGCCAGCCCTGATGGCCTCCCTCCCCAGAGGCCAGTGCCCAGAGCATCCCCTAATTACCCTCTCTACACTAACCACCGCCTCGGAGCCGGCTTCCCAGGGAATTTCCCTGTGACAACTTGTCTGGCTCCCCAAAAAAACCAACTGGTGTTTTTAGTGGAGTCACATTACTTTTATGTATCAGTCTGGAGGAGAATTAACATCTTTATGCAACAAAAGACATCTATCCATTTGTCCAAGCCTACTTTTGTGTCTTTCAGGAGTGTTCTGAAGCCTTCTTTCAGGTTTTAGATTTCTTGATACATTTATTCCTATACATTTTATCTTTTCTGCTGACGTAAATGGGGATTTCTTTTCCATTATATCTTCGAACTCATCGTTGCTTGTTGTACTTATGAAGATACTGATTTTTTAAATATTAAGTTTAGAGCCTGCTATCTTGATGCTTTTTTTATCGTTTGTTTTCATTATTTTGCGTTTTCTAGCTCTACTTTTGTCATTTATAAATGGAAGTAGTTTTATTTATTCTTTAAAAATTTGTATGACTGGTTGTTTTTTCTTGACTATACTGGCTAATACGGTCCAAAAGTAAAGGAGATAGTAAGTACCCCCATACCATGGTTCCTGACCTAAGGGAGAACTCCTCTATAGAGTGTTTCCCCAGAAGACGCTGCAATGCTGATGTGCTAGGATCGAAACGATCGTGTTAAGGAAGTATCCATCATTCTTACTGTATTATCTTTTTACAAAATCAGGAGCATGTGTTGAATCTGGCTGTAAGTCCTGAAAGCCTCATCCTTGCATTCTTGGAATAAAATCCACTTGGTCATGAAGTATTTTTTCATAATACACTTAAAATGTACATATCATCTCTGATTTCACTTTTACCCTCATGCCTTACATTCAATCCATCAGAAGAGCCTGCTTGTTACCCTTCATATATGACACTAATTTGATCATTTTTCACCTCTTCCACCGACTCTTCTATTCCAAACCCTTAGCATCTTTCATCTGGACTACTGCCATGGGCTCCTGTCCGGATTCTCTATTTCCTGTCTCACACCCTTTCAGTCTGTTTTGTACAAATTCCTCCAGTAGCTTATCACTCTTAAAATCCATCAACCTCTAATTTCTTAAATCCAGCCCCTACCTACCTCTCCAACGCTCTCATCCGCGTCCTTCCAGCTCCCCAGGTCTTTCATGGCTCACTCTTTTACATTAGGTAGCTCTTTGCTCAAATGGCACAGCAGGCAGACCACCTTCTTTAAAATAGGGCAGCCGACCTCTCCCACCTCCATTATTCTGTCTCCTGCTTAGCTTTTTCCCCATAGCACTTACCTTATAATCATAGGAGATTATACTTTATTATTTACTTATTTATTGTTTGTTGCTCTAATCATAGTAAGTTTCATGAGATCAGAGTTTCTGTCTTATTCACTGTTGTATTCACAGCACCTAGAACATACTCTGCTACAAAGTGATCACTCCATAAATACCTGACAAAGGAACGGAACGGACTGTACAAGAGAGAAAATATACACACCAGCCAGAGCAGCCAACTGGCCAGCGGACAGAGGTAGACTGTGGCTTCTACCTGTGTGTCCTTGCTGGCTGAATCTTAGCAAGTGTGTGTGTTTAAAATTAACCTCTTCTCTTAGCTTTCCTTTCCTGCCACCTTTGTATGTAGAATGCACTGCTGGTGGTTAGATTTCCTTTTGGTTTAATTCACAGGTTGACAGAACTAGAAGAGGAGGAGCCACCACCCACACACCCGAGGCTCGGTGCTGGATCCGTGAGCTAGATCACTGCTCTCTACTCCCATTTGGGAGAGAGTGTAAGTGTATTCTGGTTATATACAGAGCAGTTTCATTATGTTGGTGAGAACATTTTTTAATTGCACGTATAAAGAGGAACTGTACATCAGCTAGCCGAGGGCCACATTGTTATTTCTACCTATCCAACTTTCATTTTTCCTCCTTACGTAACATCCCCTAATTTTCCTGAGAAATAACATGCAAATATACAAATGTTGACAGGATTTGTCTTTCAATCTTTTGGTCAAGGGCTGGAGTGACATGACCTTACTTAGACGAATTAGACCCTTTCTCTCAGAAATCTGACTCCTGTATAATGTAAAAAATTGGGAAAATGGTTAATCTGATCCAAAATTTTGGTGGTATCGTAAAGAGAATGACCATTAGTTCCTGCTCTAATTTCTGTATTTTCTGAAACATGCTTCTTCAGCTTATCTTTCAATTCTGTGAGCTGCTCCACACCTTTTCTTAATAAAACTTGTTTTCTTTGTTAAGGCAACAAAACTGCCCTACCTTAGGACACCTAAACCATTTGTTTCTTCACTTGTAAAATGTGGGCAATACTGGCCTGACAGAATATCTGTGTAAAGATTAAATGAGATATTAATTCATTTACTCAAAACATTTGAGTGTCTACTACTGACCAGACCTGCGGGAATACAGGAACAGAAGATACGGCCCCACAAGGGAGGAGCGGGAGGGTGAGGGCTAGGACACACTGAGCAGAGACATGACGGAGACGTCCCATGAAGGGACGATCTGGGACAGAAGGAGCAGTCCTTCACAGCACTAGACAGAATCATAAGCAAATGGCAGTATTCAACTCTTCTGACCTCTAAAAGCAGCAACTTCATATGGTTAAGCCTAGCAGCAGAAAGCAAGCAGCTACAAGCACAGATAGATTTATACAGATTCAGAGGTGGGAATCAAAAGAAGCGATTCTAACCTTTGTTATTTGTAAGTAAAATGTCTAGAATAATAGTCAATAGTTTGCTTAGGCATAGATTTCTTTTTGAAATAAGTTTATGGAATCTGCATTCCCAAAGGATCTCGTACAGAGGAGAAACATTCGCTTTTTGTATATTCCTGGTGCTGATGGGAAAAGGGGATGAGTTCCCAGTCTTTAGGTCTCTAATTTGTTACCTTTCTGTACAACTTAAGACTGCCAAAATAATGCATTTTTTAACCCTCAAAACTATTTAAAGGACTAAGATAACCTATACAAACTCAGGATAAAAAAGAAAACCATGCTCAATTTTTAAAATACACTAAAAGGGAAAACCAAAGAAATTATAAACCCAGCTGAATACTGGAGCAAGATCACAGACGGGCAAAGCACAAGGGCAGCTTTTACCCCACTGTTCTTTTGCGTTTGCACTGTCGCCGGCGCCGGTTACTCTGCAGAGATCTGGAGTAGATCGCCAGGCTCCGGAACCAAGGCTGCATCTTCCTGTGCACGGCACTCTGCCTCCATCCCTGGGGCTGGTGTGCTGCCCCGCCTGGCGAGCCAGCCAGTGCAAATGCAGTGGGACTCTGCACAGCTGAGGGGACAGCACACGGCACTGCCAGCAGCACACCTCACAGCTGGGCAGGCGTGTCTACGGACAGCACCTAACCTACAGGGGAGGCGGAGGAGAGGGGGCCTGGGCATCTCTACCTCTGTAGCGGGAGGGGTCACTGCCTCAGAACCCGAACTGAGCAATGAGAAATTCCCCAAACACAGAAAGGGGGCTCAGATTCCTAGTGTTCAAAAAGATTAACAGATTTTCACTACTTTTCTTCATACGTTCCAACAATAAAGGATACACACAGGGCGCCGAGAAGACTAGAAATCTGTTTTCAGGAGAGTCATAAAAAGCACACCTGTGGACTGCTAAATAAGAATCTTCAATACACTGGAATCAAATGATGATCATACCTTGTAATAACGGAAATAGTCTCGTTCTTGCAGCTTTTTAATCTTGGGGAAGATTTTGAAGGTGTTGAAGTTGTCAATACTATCAACATCACATAAGCAATCATCCAGGACTCCACTGACCTAGGGGGAAAAATACGTATACATATAATTGAAATGATGTAAATGACTGATGTTTCAACCTTAACAAATCTGTTCCATTATATAAAAAGATAAATTATTGAGGGGTACAGCTCAGTGGCAGTGTGTGTGTTTAGCCTGCACGAGGTCCTGGGTTCAACCCACAGTATCTCCATCTAAAAAAAAAAAAGATAAAATTATTCATTCAAAGGAGCTATTATTTGCTGATTGAAATGTAAAGCAGCCACTTTTTACAACGGTCAACTAAATAAAAAGCAACAGAAGGAGTCGATATACCCATTGTGAAGGACTAAACATTCTTGGCTAGAGGTCAAAAAGAAAGATACTGAATGCTCTCTCCTTTGCCTAAACATATATAAAATCCAAATAGTCATGGAAATGCTAGGGCAGTTTCTTCCAAGACTTACCTAGAAAGCACAGGCTGTAATAACACTGCTGTAGTAACTTTCTTTCAGACTGCCATTTGTGGAACACTCGTGTGACAGGCATAATGCTAGCAGCATTACATGTAATAACTCATTTATTCTTTAAATATCCTATGAAGTGGTATTATTATCCTCATTTTACATACAAGGAAATTAAGGCTTTGCAAGGATAAAATAATTTTTCCAAAGTAGAGATGACACTTACTCCCAAGTCTACTGCACTTTAAAATACATGCTCTTGCGTGAGGCCCTGGGTTCAATTCCCAGTACCTCCACTAAAAATAAACAAACCTAATTATTTCCCCAACCAAAAAAATTTTTAATATATGCTTTTATCCAATACATTAATTGGAGAAAATGATATTTACAAAGTGAGTTCAGAATCCAAAAACTCCATAAAGCATTCCTCAGCTGAATTTAAAAAATTTAAAAACTCGTGAACATGCTACAAACAGGGGGTCCCCCAACTTCCTCCCCAAGTTTTATGATTTGCTAGAACGGCTCATACAACTCAGGAAAACACCATCCTCACACTGACTGGTTTATTGCAAAGGATACAACTCAGAAACAGCCAAATGGAAGGCAGGCACAGGGCAGGGTCCTGGGAGGCCCAAGTGCAGAGCTTCCACGCCCCTGAGCTGCCCCACAGCGAGTCCACGTGTCCACCATCTGGAAGCTCATCAGATCTCACTGTTTTAAGAGTTTCTGCAGAGCTCAGCCTATGGCACCCCTCTCCCAATCCCAGAGGTCAGCAGGTGGGGCTGGAAGTTCCACACCTCTAAGCACTTGGCCCTCCTGGACCAGGCTCATCCTGAAGCTATCTAGGGGTTCCCACCTAAGGCACCTCACGAGCATAAACTCAGGCGTGACTGAAAGGGGCACTCCGATTACTCAGGGAATTCCAAGGGTTGCCAGGAATAGAGGACAAAGACCAAATATACTTTGTACTACACCACACTGGGTGAGAGAGGAAGCCACTGTAGAGTTTTAAGTGGAGGCTAAAAGGACCACAGAGTACAAGGCGAGGAGGAAGCGTTTATCTTTTATACCGTATGGTCAGGCAAGAGGACCATTCACGTTAGGCAAGAGGACCATTTAGGTAAGTGGACACGGCAGATAAGGTGACACTTCAGCAGAAACCTAAGAAAGTGAGCGAGCCAACCATGTGAATCCATGAGAAGAGTATGCCAGGCAGAGGAAACTGCTGGCACAAGGGCCTCAGTGCAAAGATACACTTGCTGTGTTCCAGAACAACACGAGGTCAGCCGGACTGCTGCATGTGACTAAGGGGCAACGACTGTGGGAAGAGCAGATCCAATGGGGTGAAAATCAGGAATTTGGTTCCTGATACATCAAGTGTGAGGTATCTCTTAACTATTCAGGTAATGAATAGAGACACTGAAAAAGTAGTTGGACATGTGGATCTAGAGCTGAGAATCCTAGTCTGGAGATTTTGAGAGTCAGTTATGTAGACGGTATTTCAGCCAAGAGACTAAATGAGATGACCAAGATAGAGAGAGGAAAGAGACAAGATTTGAACCCTGAGGTTCAAGTGATCAGCGGTCAGGGGCAGAGGAGGATCAAGCAAAGGATACTAAGAAAGACTGCCCTGCAGGAAGACAGGAAGGGTGTCAGAGCCGTAGAGTATCCCAGAAGCCACAAAAAAAAGTAGTTTAAAGGAGAGTGATGAGCTGTGGGAGAAATCTGCCCATAGTTTTTAAACCTTAGCTTCACCAAACTATTGGCTTTAGCAACAAGGAAGACATTAGTGACCTTGACAAGAACAGTTTCAGAGGAGTGGTCAGGGCAAAAAGCAGGCTGGAATGGGCTGAATGACCAGAACAGGGAAGAGAAAGATACTTCTCTTGAGGAGTTTTTCTATACAGGGGAACAAAAAAAAGGAGCAGAGTCAGAAGAGATGAGTGAGTCAAGAGAGGACTTTAAAATAGTAGAATTAACAGCACGTTTTATGATGACAGTAACAGTCCATCAGAAAAGGAAAATTGATGATCCAAGAGAGAAAGGGAAGTTTTGCTCGAGCCCTAACAAGCAGAGGGACTGGCCTTTGCTAAGAGTACAGACAGTTCGTACACAGGTATGCAGCCCAAGCCAAAATACATGCGGCAACGACTAGCAGGTGGACAGACAGGATTACTCTAACTTGGTCAAGTATGAAGCTAAGCGTGAGCATGGAGAAGAGGTGCTAGAGGATTAAGTAGAAAGAAAAGGACATAAAGCGGTTGTCTAATTCAATAATCATTTTTTCCTGCTGGGTATAATCAGCTATGTAGTCCATGCATTGAGTTGTTAATTTCATTTCTAGAACTCCTATTTCATGACGCTTTAATCATTTGGTCACTCTTTAAAAGCTCTTGTTCTATTTCATATTTCTGAGTATCTTTTTATTTAAATACATTAAACATAGTAATTTTAAATTATGCCTTATGTTTTCAAAATCTAAAGTCTGGACAGGTCTGTTTCTGTAGTCTACACTTCTAATACCTCATTCACGGTGCCTTGTGGGGTTCGCGATTTTTTTGTGTGTGTGTGTGTGACTGTTAGCTTATTCTGCTTGGCACTTTATCTTCAAGAATTCTATAGGGCCTGGGTTGAAAACAAATTCCTACAGCGGGGATGGGTATTTGCTTTTACCAGTAAACTAGGAGCGTACCAACCTGAGGCTGCTATAAATTAAATTTTCCCCTCGAAGCTCTTCCCAGCACAGGAGGCATGAATTTGGCCTGTATAAGGGCTGGCTCGTGGTTACAAATTCTCAAGGCAGTTTTCCTCCCCTTCCCTAGCAAGTTTCTTTACTTTACCCTTACTTGTGGTGGGTTTCATTTCTCCTCACACTGAACACGTAGTCCTTTGCAGTTCCGCTTTTACTGTGGGGCCTTTCATTGTCCCCTCTGTGGGCAGACAAAGGCTTTATGTCCTCTCTCCTCCACTCCACATGGTTGTTAAAGCAGAAGCTCAAGGTCCCCAGGGTCTGGGGGAAATCCTCAGGGTAACGGGACTGAAGCAGCACCGTCTGAGTCTCAAGGTTCTGGCTCTCCATCTTGAGGGGGCTTTATGCATTCTATGATTTAATGCCATCTCAGAAATGCATTCAGAAAGACTTAAAAATATATGTCACTGGAATTACTTCTCTACAGGAAGTTTGTTAGAGCACTTGTGCGTGGTGTTTTTAGTTCCTAGTGTTTTGCCGTACTACAAAGCACATTTGCATATCATTGATAAAACAGGGTGTGAGATGTACAAATGCCTATCATTTTATGTGCTTGCAAATGACTTTATGCTTTAAATGTAAAAAGATAATATTCAATATACTCATCTCCTTAAATGATTTCTTGTCAATAAAAGTATGACCTCTTTCATTCTCTACTGTTTTTTCTTCCAATTTAGTATACGAAAGAGAAGTGAAAAACTGGCTTAGTTCCACTTTTTTATTTTCCTGGGTTTCCTTCTGCTTTATTTCTGTACCACACAGAAGCAAGCACACTGAGCTGCACTGTATAGAACAGAAAGAGGCCTACTGGTCTCCAGTTAAATCTTGCTCACTTACGAAACAAGTGTGAAACTAATCATGTAACTCTTTGAAAGTCAGTTGCCTCAAAAGCCCCACAGATGCGTCAAATAAAATGATAATTTATATCTAAACGTTACAAATTACAGTAAGATCTAAAATGTGATCAAACACTTATGATTAGAAAGTACCACTGGAAACAAAAACCGAATGTATTCATTTTTGAGGACAGTTTGGCACAATGCTACTTTGAATATGCCAAATCTTTAACTGCTGAACTATATATATGTTCATTTGGACATAAATTTAAGTTACACATATTCATTTGGATATAATAAAATTTAAAGTACAAAGGCAATTATAAGACATTAGTATACATAATTAGTGATAAGAGCCTAAAGTGAAGCTTCTATACTGGTGATATAGTATACAATTGATACTTGCTACATAATTAAAAAATGAGGAAAAAAGGAGAAAACTCTCATTTTAGAAAAACATCTAAATGTAAATTCTACTCAAAAAGAAACAGCCCATTAATAACTAGAAAGTAATTTTGCCAAAGACAATTTGGAAAATATACTTTTCATAAGTCTGGTAGATATGCCCAGATTGCCACTGTTCCTGTGTTTTCAAGTGGGGTTAAAGACAGTTAAAGGGATAACTGCGTTTGTTACTTGCAAGGCTGTTTTACAATGCTGATACTCCTGGACCACATCCACTGTATCAGAACATCCGGTAATGGGGCCAAAGAATCTGCATTTTTAACACGCTCCCAAAAAACCAAAACCAAAAGTTTCTCCCTTTTATCGAATCATTCACTTAAAAAACATTTTAACAGGGACAGAAATTTAAGATTCAGGCATCCTGAGATTCGATTCAGAACACCATAACTCTCTGAAAAAAGTGTCTGAGTAAAGTTAGAAAAACGTGTTTACGTGATTACACTCAGGGTTACCTTCAGTTTTTCTTAACAATCAGCATTAATTGCTTCAAACGACATCTGCCCTCATTATCGGGCCACCTGGGACATCTTTTTACGTTTTTTTCGCTCTTAGCAGTTTTGCCACTTTGCAGCAGGTGCAGACAAGACAGCACCTGGCCGCGGTCTACTCTACTGAGTAAAAAAGGAAGCAAACACCTCTCTTCAGGCAAAAGGCTCTGGTCCGCTTCCCCCGCGATTTCCAGCATCTTGAGAAACTTGTTAAGATAACGTCTCACAAAGACACGCTCGAACTCTGATTTATCAGCCGTCGCCTCACTGCTGCTGGACTCGCGAGGCCAGACACAGACCCCTCGGGTCGTAACCGGACTCACCTGGCGATGCCGCCGAGCAGAGTCCCAGCTGGGCGAAAACACAGCGCTCCCGGGCCAGGGACGGGGGGAAAGCCGAGGGACTCTCGGTCCGCAAGTCCGGGAAGTT